GGGTGGGTTATATCCCCTGTCACATTTTTTTTGTTCCTGTGTTCCATTGTGGAGATTTCCCTTCACTTCCTGTGATTGAGATGAAATCCCTGCAAATTACGGGAATTCCTTGGGGACCCCCAGGTCACCAGAACTAGTGTCCCCATTGGAAGATTTCTCCTCTATTACTTTTCTGGGGACAACCCAAAATTTGGAATTTCTTTTACTTTCACTTTCAACAGGAAAAATAGAGAGGGTGAATCTCCCTAACGGGGGCACAGACAGCAATAAAAACTGACAAGTGTTTTATTCTCTCTGCACTCTGTCCAAAACTAAAAAAAAAGGTTTTGCCTTTAGTTATACTTTAACACAAAAGCAAAGCCCTTTAAACACAGACCCTTATGCTTGTTTTGCAATTTCATAGACTTGAATCTGGAAGAAAAGAAGTTTCTGATGTGAACAAAGCTTTGGCAACACTGGCCCTACAACTTGGCAACTTGATGTACAGGGTGGCCCTAAAGTCTGGACACATTGGCAAAATGCATATTTTCTATTAATTTCAATGCATATTTCAACAACATTTTATTTTATTGGAATATTAATCAATAACATCTTCAATCTGTTTTCCACCATTTGTGATGCAAAGCTCCATGCACTTTGCAAGATTCACATGAACCCGATGCAGTAACTGCACATTGCCATCAATTTGAGCACATTTGTTCATGATGCATTTCTTTCAAGTAATTCATATCTGTGATTTTCAGTGAGTACACCTTCTCCTTTAGCATACCCCAAAGAAAGAAGTCAAAGGGGTTACGGTCTGGTGAGTTATATATATATATATATATATATATATATATTGTGTCTCTCTTTGGAGAGATATCACAGCCTTTGTGTAAAATTCCAACATCTAGATCTGATCCTTGTATACCTGCTGATTTCCTGTAAAAAGTTACTGGCAGTACTTGGCAAGAAGGTATACCTTCTCTTATTTGTGCCCTGGCAGAGTAATATCATCACCAAACTATGCCTTTCATGCCAGGATTGGTTATATGCATTGGGTTCCATGATACTTAGCTCCTCTTTATGGAATAGTTTATGACCCCTTATTAGTACTGTACAGGATGTCCCAAAATTCTGGACACATAGGAAATATCACTATATATATACAGTTGTGTCCAAAATTATTCAACCCCCAATGCTGTAAAGGGGTTTAGGGACTATAGTGTACATTTGGAATTGTATTCAGAATCAAATCCTACAAGGACGTTGTAAACTACCCAAATGCAACTAAAATGACATCAATTGTTTATGTAATACAGTAGTAATGGTTCTTATGTGGTTTCTTCATTGCCACAATTATTCAACCCCTTAAAGACTACCACTCTGAAGAACAGAGGTTCATACAGGTGCTTTCCATCAGGTATTGAAAACACCTGTGGATGATCACCGAGCAGCAATCAAGCATAATAAGCACCAATTAGGCAGCTTTAAAATGACTGTGATACTCAGCTCCTTCTAGACATTTACTGGTGTGGTTACAAACATGGTGAAGTCGGGCAAAGTTTTGATTTACTTTTGGCAAGAGAATGGTCCAGGAAGACAAGAGAAGAGGTGATTTCTCTTCACAGGAAGGGCAATGGCTATAAGAAGATTGCAAAGATGTTAAACATACCAAGAGACACCTTAGGAAGCATCATTCGCAAATTCAAGGCAAAGGGCACTGTTGAAACGCTACCTGGTCGTGGCAGAAAGAAGATGCTGACTTCGACTGCTGTGCGCTACCTGAAGCGTAGAGTGGAGAGAAGTCCCCGTGTGACTGCTGAGGAACTGAGAAAAGATTTGTCAGATGTGGGTACAGAAGTTTCAGCCCAGACAATAAGACGCACACTGCGTAATGAAGGCCTCCGTGCCAGAACTCCCAGGCGTACCCCCTTGCTGTCTCCAAAGAATAAGAAGAGTCGACTGCAGTATGCCAAAAAAAAGCCATGTGGACAAACCACAAAAGTTGTGGGATAGTGTTCTGTGGACTGATGAAACAAAATTAGAACTGTTTGGGCCCATGGATCAACGCTATGTTTGGAGGAGGAAGAACAAGGCCTATGATGAAAAGAACACCTTGCCTACTGTGAAGCATGGTGGAGGGTCAATCATGCTTTGGGGCTGTTTTGCTTCTGCAGGTACAGGGGAAGCTTCAGCGTGTGCAAGGTACCATGAATTCTCTTCAGTACCAGGAGATATTGGATGGAAACGTGATGCAGTCCGTCACACACCTGAGGCTTGGGAGACGTTGGACCTTTCAACAGGACAATGATCCCAAGCATACCTCCAAGTCCACTAGAGCATGGTTGCAGAGGAAAGGCTGGAACATTTTGGAGTGGGCATCGCAGTCACCAGACTTAAATCCGATTGAGAACCTCTGGTGGGACTTAAAGAAAGCAGTTGCAGTGCGCAAGCCTAAGAATGTGACTGAACTGGAGGCCTTTGCCCATGAAGAATGGGCGAAGATACCCGTAGATCGCTGCAAGACACTTGTGTCAAGCTATGCTTCACGTTTAAAAGCTGTTATAACTGTAAAAGGATGCTGTACTAAGTACTAAGATTGAATGTCACTTGGGGGTTGAATAAAACTGATAATGCTGTGAGCACAGAAAAGACATTTGTGGTTATTTCATTATAAACTGTTATGGTTATATTTGTCTGACCTACAAGTGCCTCTTTAATGTAAATGTAAGCAAGATGACTGAATGATCAAAAGCAATGTCAAACTGGCCAAAACACTCAATTTCAGTGGGGGTTGAATAATTTTGGACACAACTGTATATATACACATACACACACATTTAGGTCCCTTTGTAAGCTCCAAGCAGCAGGGCCCTCCTAACCCTCTTGTATTGAACTGTATTGTTGCTGTATTGTCTCCCGTTATATTGTAAAGCACTGAGCAAACTGTTGGCGCTATATAAATCCTGTATAATAATATTAATAATTTGTATTTGGACACAGGCACTATTTTAGTTTTTTTTCAGGTATATACCACTCTGCCAGGGCACAAATCAGAGAAGGTATACCTAGTGCCCAGTACTGCCAGTAACTTCCACAGGAAATCAGCAGGTATAAAAGGATCAGATCTAGATGTTGGAATTTTACACAAAGACTGTGATATCTCTCCAAAGAGAGATCAATGAGGACAGTAGGTCCTTTACAGTATTAATCAGTGTACAATGCAGTCATCCCACCAAGCACTGGAGGTTCCTCCTCAGCGCTGATCACTCTAAAACTGTGATGTAGCCTGTTAATCTCCGGGAAATGTTTTCACCTTATTTAAATATTTATTCACCACCATTCCCCCTTTTCAATTTAGCTCATGCATGACAGCGGATAACTTCAACCCACATTCATTTTAAATATTCAATCTGATGCCTCACAGAAAATCAAATATTTATGACTCCAAAATTTGCATGTCTATTTCATACGCGAATAATGTATCGGTGGCTGCCTTGAAATATTCACACTTAGGAGGGTATAATGTTTATTTCATGTCCAGTCACTTTCCTAGCTCTTTGCAGACAACTTTGACTGTCAGAAGGAAAAGCTTGTAGTGGGATGAAAAAGAAGATAGACACACATAGAAAGTCTTATCTAGAGACAGTCCAACTAAATATTTTATGAAACTTGTTTGTACACTGAAGATATCAAGCATCCCTGTAGGGTCCCCGTCAAATGCCATCAGGCCATAAAAGTGTGAAATGAAAGCAGAATTACTTTCCATCAAACAACCATAACAAGAGTACAGGATATCCACAAGGTTCTCTGAGTGCAAATAGTTTTAGATAGTGGATTTACTATGTTTTTTTAAGTAGGAAAACCCTGGGAGATGGAAATCTTTGTTAAAGTGGAACTCAAGTATCTGTGAACACAATAAAATTGTGAGATAAAAATAGTGCATGGGTGCATACTTGCAAATCTGTGTCACTTGTTTCTTTATCCATATTTTATATTATACCACTTGCAGCTTCTGTTCCATCACATCTTATCTGTGTGTAATAAAAGGTAGTGTTGCTATCTGAGGGAAGTGATTAAATAATTCATTCACAGGAAGTTCATGTTGAAAGGCCCCTAATCAAATACTTGCCTTCCATATGTCAACATTTGGAGCAACAGCAAAATCGCTCTTTGCCATGGCTGTTTCTGGTATAATTAATCACAAGGAAGCAGCACTATCGACTGATGTCACAGAGCCAGTCCAGTCTGGAGGATGCCTATACCGGCAGCTGGCTCAGCCTCTCAACTAGCCATTGAGAGCCCGAGCCAGGCTCTCCCACCCCTCCGCAGCCCAGTGCTCTGGTGAGCACTGGAGGGGCAGAGCAGAGAGTTGGAGACTGAAAGTCACCTACTATCTGAAGCCTGAAAACTGAGCGATCAGCGGTTTTTCTTTGCTTAGTTCTCAGTCTTAGAGCCGGTGGGGGACAGATACAGCATCAGACCAATGCTGCATCCACCTAGGTGAGTATCATTTTTTTTTTTAATGAATCCTGAACTTCTCTTTTAACCTCCCTAGCGGTCTGATTATGTCCATATTTCTGTGCTGAAAGCGGTACATTTTTTTGCATGGAAATATGTATTTTTTTTTATTGTAGGCCTGTAATTTTTAGGAATAACTCACTAAAATCTGTCCGAACAAGAGTCTAGTAAACATCATGGGTAGGATAAAACTTGAAACACAAAATCATAAATTATAATTTAATAAATAATCATAAAAATAATAATATAATAATAATACATTTAATTTAATAATATAATCAAACCAAAAACACTGAACTATAGCGCCAAGTTCGCACATTGCTGAGCAAAGTCGCAAAATCATTTTCAGTGTCTGATGACAAATTTCTCCATAAATTATTATCACTCAATTCTGCAAGTGATTCTGATTTACTATCGCTGTTCTCTAGCTGGTCTAAAACCGCTTTTGACCAAAAGGGATGCTTTTTGAACACCATGGACGTTTCTCAGTTTCCAGGCAGAAAAGAACAGTAAAAATGCAGGCAGGGCACAAAATGTATGTGAAATGGTTTGATACAGTAATGTTTTACTATGTCAAATCCATTTCTAAGAAAATGACAGTTTCAAAAAATGTTTAAATTTCCCTCCGTTCTGGCCCCCGTACACCCTGACGCTCGCAGGGACCGAAACACGGAAGCCGGATGCCGGCATCGGCCGGAGGAGATGGCCGGGGACGAGGCAGGGGACACATCGCGGGAGCGAAGGACAAGGTAAGCGCTGCAGGGATCCCTTAGCATCACCGCATGGTAAGCCCGAGTGTAGCTCGGGGTTACCGCTTTTGGTACTGAAACTTTACCCTGAGCTACACTCAGGAATACCGCCAGGGAGGTTAAGATAAGTGGCTTCTTATTGGGCAGTTATTATGACATTTTTACATTGAAACATTTGGTTTGCATTCTTCTAACAAAACAGCATCCACACAGTAATAACAGGCATTTCATGCTCTGCAAACTTCTCTTTACTCTCAGGGCTGCAATTTTCTTTGCATGTCTACTGATGTATCAGAACCATAACTCAAAGCCTCCAACTGCATCGACGGCTGGCTGGAACATTTGTTTGGCAATTGTGGCATCCTCCTGAGTAGCTGATCTGGACCATAGTAATTAGTGATTGCGTGAGCTTGAAAGAGACAGGTGAAAATTGTTGTCCAACCAGATGCAATTGATGTTCGGGTGCTGAAGTTTCCTGAATACAGCAGCCGGCAATGTAGATTCCTTCATCCTTGCTATTTACATAGTGATGGTAGTGACTGATTTCTCTTGTTCAGCTCATTCAGTTCTCTGTAGGAACTACATGTGCGTAATAAGATGATTATATATTTAACCTAATCCTCTTTTTCTCCCCCAGCTTTATTAGAACTTGTTACTTGTTTTACTTAAAGTGTTATTAAAGGCATTTTTTTTAAAATAAAGTTAATTAAGAAATGTATACATTTTATTAATAAAATTAAAATAACAAACATGTTTTGCTCACCTATTCTGTGCAATGGTATTGCCCAAAGCTAATATCAAAGAAAAACTTCTCTTTTTGGCTCCTCTTCTTTGTCTGCCCCCATAGCAAGCACTTGCTATGGCAGTAGATGTGCGGGCTTACTCCTGAGCTGTTGCTTGTGCGTCTAGACATACACAATGCAGCTTGGCCCCGCCTCCTCCTCACAGAATTTGATTGACAGCACCTGGAGCCAATGGCTTCCGTTGTTGCCTCTCTGCTGTGAAGACAGAGAGAGCAGCAAGGCTGCTCTAGGGCACAATGTTGGATTGAAAGAGGCACCAGATATGTATTTAGGTGGGGTGGACTGGGGGAGCTGATACTGGAAGTTTTTTTTTTCTTAATGCATTGAATGCATTAATGTGATAGTGAACTCTTTCATTTTATTTTTTTTAATAACAAACAGGTTTATACTTACCTGTCCTGTACAATGGAACTGCACAGGACAACCCAAAACCTCCTCTTCTCAGGCCCCCCACCAGCACTCCTGGTTTCTCTTCTTCTTAGTGTGCCATCATAGGAAGCCGCTTGGCTCAGCCCTGCCCCCCACACCTTTGCCACAAGATTTGACTGACAGCAGTGGGAACCAATGGCTCCTGTTGCTCTCAGCAAAACCTGTAAGAGTGGGAAAAAGAAGAGAGAGCCGCTGCAGATGGGCACAGCACTGGATTGAACGAGGGATCAGGTATGTATTGGGGGGTGAGGGTGCAATACATTAACCTAAACATTATTTTTTACATTAGTGCAAGGAATGCATTACGATAAAAAATGTTTAGGCTTTAGAAGGCTTTTAAAAAAACTAAATTATGCCTTTAGAACCACTTTAATTTCATAATCTATAGCCATTTTTTTGTTTAGTTTTGGATACAGAATGGAAGGACTTGCCAGGTATTACTGCTGCCCAGCACTTTTCATCTATTTCTGTTCTGGGGACAATGTTTTACCAGACAGGAAGTAAAGCAAAATCCGCAACAGGGGTTCTAGCATTCCTCTATGCAACATAAAAAAAAAACACAAACATATTTTCTTCTGTTTTGCTCTTGGAAAGATTCCTTTACCTCCTGTCTGCACTGGTGTTAGTATGTAAAAATTCTTCATTTTCAAAAAAATTGTGACAAAAAATTACAACTTCAAAAATCTTGCCATGCCTCTTACTGAATACCTTGGACTGTTTACTTTTCAAAAAGGAGTCATTTAGGGGGTGTTTGTACTTTCCTAGCATTTTAGGGCCTCAAGAAGTGAGATAGGCCATCAGTACATCAGAATTGATCAATCTATAATCACTACTTAAAGAAAGCATATTTATCAGTGGAAAAAAAAAACAGGAAGGAGAGAGCCTAGTCATATGACCTGTCAAAGTCAACTGACTAGTTTCTCCTTTTAGAGTGAACCTTCATCCAAAAATTAAAGTACTGTTCACCCCCTCCTCCTCCTGCCAGCCTCTTAACTAATTTACAGATTTTTTTTTTTGGGGGGGGGGGTACACGTAGCTTTTTCAGAGATACCTGCTTCCACTCTCCCAATCCTTGCCTAGGTGTAAGTGATGTCCATATAGAACAGCACCCCCTCCCCCACAGCCTCCAAGGGAGTGTCAAACATCCCAGGAGGTTGCATGACCAGTCTCACTGTACCTCCATTCCTCATGCATGCACAATGGGGCGCCGGTTGTGAGACATGAAGAAGTCACTGCCGATTCTCCAATCCGGCAGCCCCGGGGATCCACAGTGATGAGAAGAATTGGCTGCAGGGAGGACAGCAATGGCCTCCATGGGCTGGCAACGTTCTGCTTCTTAAAAGTCAGCAGCTACAGCATTTGTACATTCAGGGTTCTTTCTGTAATGTTAAGCAGAGAAAACTCCAGGGGACACTGCAGATTCTATTTTATTCTATATGACTGGGCCGTGGTGTGGAATAACACTGCAGTGTCTGACAGCGAGCCCCCATGGTTTTGAAACTATGCATGCATGCTCATTTTTTTATCTTGCAATTCCAGTGTTTGCCCTTAGTAAAAAAGAAAAAATAGTTCTGCTTTAAGTAGCTGTACATGATATAAAAAAATAGTTTATTAAGGTTAAAATAACACATTTTTAGCACAGATATCATGAGCAGTGAAAAACAAACCAATGCAATTAAAATGTATATAAAAACACAGAGCAATCTAAAAACAAGGTAATTGACTATGAGCAAATGAATGTGTATTGGACTGGAAAGAGAAGTGGACAAGATTTATATTTGGCAGAACAAGGCATGTAATACACACACACTCAGGACTGGAATTCAGGATATACTATGGGACTACTGCCAGCCAGATAACAGGGGATCAGGGTGCAGGGTAAAAAGAGCAGGGGGCCAGAAAATTAAAAATGGACAGTGAACAGGCAAAAGTTAGGTGCCTCAAGTACGTACCAGGGGCGGACTGACCATTCGAGCACTTGGGCACTGCCCGAGGGCCCGGGGTCAGTAGGGGGCCCCATGAAATGCCCCTGGTACCTTTTTTATAGGCTTTTTTGAGTGTGGGCAAGGACACAGGGGCTCCATGATCCCCTATTGCCCAGGGGCCCCATGAGTTTTCAGTCCGCCCCTGGTACGTACACATAACTGAATAAGAGGGGATATAATTCTTTTCCTCTAACAGGTGCAGATGGTGGTCAACAAGGCCAGAAAGGGCCACAGAGCAACGCTTGCAAAAAATAAAAGAGAGAAAATCTATGCAGGAAACCAGTGCCACCAGCAGTTTAAAAAGGACACTGAAGATTCAATACAGTTTCCATATCTCATATGATTTATTTGTCTGCTAGGTTATCTGCCAAATCAATCAATTACTAACTGGCATTTTTAAGTGACCCATGCCATTCCATCTAACAGTAGCTGCACTACGAGGCTGTTGTAAGTTTTGTATTGTCTATTACCTTCTTGTTTCATGTTGCTTTCAAGTGGAAAAAAAGCCAAATGCTATCTATTCTTAAAACATTCACCCCTCCCTATCCTGCATACCCTGTAAAAAAAGATCTGCATATGTAACTATTTTTAATTAGGTCTAGTCACATGATCATACAGCTCTGGGATCATAGACCAGAGCTGGGGCTGCAGGATCACATGACCAGACAGGATTATAAAATAGAGTCTGTATTTAGGGTATGCAGGATAGGGTAGGAAGAGGAGGGAGGGAACATTTTTAAGAATAGTGTTAGGCCTTTTCCATCTTAACAATCCCTAGACAACATCTGTAAAAAACAAGAAAATCACTCTATTTACTTTTACTTCAGCTTCATTTAGTTCTTCTTTCCACTCTGGCTGGAACTATTTATTTTTTCTATTGGCTAAAGCGGGTAATAGATCCAGGCCATAGAAACAGAAGGATGATGTAAATGTAAAGAGAAATTGCTCAAAAACAAGTTTACCTTCAAAAGTTTGATTTTTCACAGCTGCTATCACGGGATTGCAAAAAAAAGCTGTGACTGAGCAATAAAGAGCTTTTAACAACCTCCAAGTACAGGTACTGGGAAATAGGATGGTCATAGGAATGGCATGGTTTACTTTTGAGGAAATTTTAAATCAATTCCCTGCATGCCTAAGAGCCCTTTGTTTTCTTGAGGAAGAAATCTGTAACTACAGATTCACTTGCAGAGAAACCTGCTGTGGAAATGTGACATTGTAGAGTGTCCATTAGAAACAATGATTCTCTGTTGGATCCAATAAATTTTACGGGCTGAACTAAAGCGGGAAAAGAGGGTTTGCATGTTTCTATTTGCTTCTTTGGTTTCCCAAAGTCACATTTTAGAAACATATTAGCAATTTGTTGATGTATTGTTTAATTAACTTAACCTTAATGTGTTAAAAAGGAAATAATTAGTACCTTCGATATTGGCACAGTTGTTGAGGAAGACTTATGCATCATACATAACTTAGTAATCACAGACAGTCTGATTTTTTTTTATTTATGGTCTTTGATGGCCTGCAGCTTTTAAAATGAAAGCAACCTCAGTATGATATCCCAAAGCATTGGGCTTTTCAGTATGTAAATAAGAATAAATTTGTGCTCAACCACTCAAACCACTATACGCATGTTTTAAAACATTGTATTAGTAATTGCTTTAAGAGGGTTGACTAAATAAGTTAGCCTTTAGTCTATTTTTTCATGTCTAGGGTAAACCCTTTTAGGGCCTGTTCACGCCAGGCCATTGTGTCTAAAAGCAGAAAAAGTGTGCTTTCACTATGCATTACAACAATTATTATTATTATACAGGATTTATATAGCGCCAACAGTTTGCTCAGCGCTTTACAATAGATAATTTACAGAAA